CAGAAAACGCAGTGTTGGGAGCCAAGAACACCCGCCGACAACACAATAATCTGGACGCTCGATTGGCAAGGGCCATTATTTGTTCTGTGAGGACTGGGCTGGACAGGACTGGACTGGACTGGAATGCACATAACAGATACTGCGCCGTCTCCCTTTCCCTTCCACCTTCCAGATATTACTCCCTCGTGGAGAATCGGAAGAAGCCTAACACTCGCAGGCGAGTCGGTCCACAGACGGAACTCGCCATTACCAGGACACCCAACAGGCGAAAGCCTTTCTACGTCCTGTGATTTGAATTTGAATTTGACCTGAACTAAACTGACCTTCAGGGGCAAGCTGCGGTACACGCGGTGTTCATCCGGGCAATTGCAGATTTGGTAGTTCTCCGCGTCGATCTGTGTTGGGTCATGCATGGACGGGTGAAAGTCCGGCGGTCTGAGGAGCAGGAGCGTCTAAGGAATGAGAAAAAGAAGAAGGCCGAAAAGGAACTTCGTTTCGCGCTCGATAACCTGCTTTCTGATAGGAGAAATGGAATCCTGACTTTGGATAAATTGCGTGAACTCACTCCAATTATTGAAACTGCTCCCGACATGACATCGTTGTGGAATTATCGTCGTGAAATCATTAACGCCAGTTTGCTACACGATGAATGCCCGAGAGCTGAACAGTCAAAGCTTATGAATGATGAATTAGAACTGACCACACGTTGTTTGAAAGCTTCACCAAAGTCGTATGCTGTTTGGCAACATCGTTCATGGGTTATGATACACCATCCCACTCCGAACTGGCACCAGGAAATCGAATTCTGCAATGCCGCTCTGAAGTTAGACGAAAGAAATTTTCACTGTTGGGATTATCGACGGTTTGTCGTTCTTCATGGGAAAATTCGGACACAGTCAGAACTGCTATATACTGATAGCTCATTGGAGAGTAATTTCAGTAATTACTCTGCGTGGCATTATCGTAGTGAGATCCTCAGCTCTTCAGATCCAGTGATGGAATCCTCGCTTCCTGTTAGCCCTCCACCTTACGTGCAATCCAAAAATGGTTTCTGTTCCTATACAGTTGAAGAAGCCATGCCTGCCGATGAACTGGAGTTAGTCCACAATGCGATATTCACGGATCCCAAAGACCAGAGCCCTTGGTTTTATTACTGGTGGCTTTTAGGTCGGGGTATCCGGAAAGCTTATTTACGAGAGGTCTATGTTTCGCGCACCCTTGGTCGCCTGGTTGTTATATTCACTGCAGCGAAACCTTTGAGCGCATTGAAGTTACTCTCTGTACGCATTAAAGTCACGCCAATGACATCTGTGAACGTGGAGCCTTTGGAGTTGACGGTTGACGATTTGGGCGGTTGGCAGTCTGTGCTATCAGAAAATGTGTCTGCTGTGTGGTGGCTTCCCATCGATCCGGATTCTTTTTCACCTTATGCCCCGCCAAGCATTTGCAGTTTATTTCATTCCAATCCCTCTCATTTTGACATTTCTGTTTGTATTCGGAACGTGGAAAACTCAAGGGAGCCAAAAGTGTGTTTTTCCCCAGACTGTCCTCCGGATCATATCTTTTGTCTCAAGTGTGTCTTAGATTTCTCTCAGTCGGAGTCATTGACTAGAGTAGACTTGGACCCTCTGCGCCTGTTAAATCCGATAATTTCACCGACGAATGAACCGGAAGCACTACAAGGTGAATTGGATAACATACGCGATTTAGTAGGCATGGAACCTCAGAACAAATGGGCTCTGTTGACTCTCATAGATCTTCTACGCTTCATTCATCCACCCGGATCAAAAGCCGAAATAAACAATGCCATAGACACTTTGTCTGTAGTTGACGAGGAACGAGCCGTGTATTATGCTGACATGAGAACCGCCTGTGCTGCCCAAGATGCACTTGTGCAAACGTTTCACAAGCATTCCCGTGAAATATCCCTTAAGGGAATAGGAATGGAGCGCCTACCCTACTTGGATTGGTATGCATTGATGACCAGAATTGATTTATCTTGCAACCGCATATCGAAACTTCCCGAAACCATCGCTTACTTAGTGTGCCTTGCGGATTTAAATTTGGACGACAATTTACTAAGCTCTCTCCATGGAATTAGTCGTTTACCCTGTCTATCACGTCTTTCTGTTCAGCGAAATCGCCTACAAAATTTTCCTGCGATAGAAGAGCTGTTACGATGTCCAAAACTGCAAAATGTCTATATGCATGGTAATGAGGTAACGAAACTCTCCGATCTCACGACCCTATTGGCCGAACATCCCGGATCTAAAAATAAATCACATTCTTTCATTGTGACTTACGACAAGTGAACCTGTCAATTCTTTGCTTGTATATATTCACATTCATGAATCTTGTCGTTTGCTTGTGCGTATGTATGATTGATCAGTGCTATGAGCCGTTGTTTTTCGGAATATAACTCCACCAAATCACAGATTTTCATTCTAAAATGCTAATAGACTGTATACACATAGTAGTCCGAAATGTCGTGTCATTATTGTAAGCATTCCATTCTATTGATAAATCTCATAGCCGAAATTAAAGGTATTCGATTTGTTCATAGGTTGAGACAGTCTCTTGCGCATAGTGATTTTAGTTACCGGCACTAGTTGGATCTATGGTTATGTATTCATTACAGTCTAGAGGAAGGCAAGCGGAACACGGCTGTGCCAGCGATTCATTATTAGGAGCCCGCCTACTTTTCTTAGACTAATCATTTTTGTATATTTTAATTTTGTTTTGCCTCCGATAAATAACTTTTGTTCCCTGGCAAATTGATTCTATGTAGATTCTGTGTATAATCTTTAGAAGCGAATGCGGATGTCCACAAAAAGTGGTTTCATCTTTATGCGGTTAATTCTCGTGAGAGCATTAATCCTGTCTTAGTCATGTAGTGCAGCCGTCTGGTGAACTCTCTGTGAAGATGCTTGGGATTAGTTCCGCCCTCAGTATCGTCTATTTATTGGTCAATCGAGCACTTCTAACTTCTGCACATAGAAATGTTGGAAAAAATGTATAACGACTACTAAACTTACATCAAAAGACAGATTCGTTCCCTCGGACGGATGATGCGGTCATTGAGAAAATTTGAAGCCCAGGACAAGTTTTATGGAAAAGCCAGAAGTACGGTAGTTAAGACTATTTAAAGCTTTCGATGTATCCAAGATCACTATGGTTTTTTGATCCCCATCAGGTACTGCTGACACTGCATTTTTTTATTACACAAAGTGAATTACAGTAAACGGAGAGATCCCCATGAGCAAATAGCATGCTGTAAAGGGGAGAGTAAAGGAAACATTCACGTAAGATCCAATTTGTTGATTCTGCTTTTAAAAAGTGTGAGATTGTAAGTTGGGGGGAAAATAGCAAGTGGGAGGGTGTTCCACAGTTTGGCAGTTCGGGAAATAAAAAGATTGGAGTAGAGAGGTACGACACCTGGGAACAGAAACCTGATAAGGATAATTAGATGCCTGTGTACGAGATGGACGGGAAAAAGTTGCAGGAAGAGGAACTGCCGAGGCAAGTTCCAAAGTTCCAAAGTAGTAACGGTAGAAGAGGGACAATGAAGCAACTGCCCGACGATGGGCTAGCGACTGTAGACTGGATGTTCGGGAAGGATCGTCGATTAGCCGGATGGCGTTTCGTTGGACACGATCAAGAAGGGAAAGGGAAGAAGATGAAGCTCCACCCTACACGTGACTACAGTATTCAAGAGCAGGGCGGATTTGAGCTTTGTACATGCAACTAGTGCACGAGAAGATAAACCTAGCCTTAAGCTGTGCTGACGTTCACTAAGCCCTGGGAGACAGAGTACTGTCAGCAACTATTGATTCCATAAATTTGAGATCATTCACGTGCAGTGTAAAAAATTCTTATTTTAGGGCAATGAAGGGTCGCCGCTTTTAGCAAGGAGAAATTTTGCAGTGATTTTTCATAGTTTTCATAGTTTGCCGGATTTGTAGGTGTTGGTGATCAAACGATGCCTTAGATCTTACCACCTCTTATCTGTAGTAACAAGCCTCGTTCAACTATTTGTTAAGTTTAGTCATTGGTGGCACCTAGTTGACATCACTTTGTTAGAGGGAGATCAGCCCATACACGCTGTTAAGCGTCATGGTTGCTGTAAGGATTGAGGAAACCGTCGTCTGTAAGGTGTTCTAGTTTAGGCGTTTCCTCTTTAGGGACCCTCTGGCCTACCAGTTTATGGCTTTTTCCAGAGCAACTTAGATTGGAAGTTGGTAGGAAAGAATGATTGCTTAAGCCGTTGGCTGTCAACACTTACCTAAACGTCCAGCCCAGTTCAGTCTTCACAGGATTAATAATGGCCCTTGCCAATTGAGCGTCCAGATTATTGTGTTGTTGTCAGGTGTTCTTTGCTCCCAAACCTGTGTTTTCTGAGTTTCTTCTTTCCTCATCGGTGAGAGACCTTAGTTTTCAGAAATACCGGTTTCAGGTACATGGATGATTTTGTTTAGCGTTGTTCACGGTGAATAAATCAACACCATTGTGGAAATTTTGAGCTCCATGAATTAAGGAAACGGAGAAAAATCTCAGTTGAGAAAGTTATTAGTTTGTCTATCCGAACAAATAATCATCATTTTTTGATGCGTGTGGTTACGAACCCTAAGCACATGCAGGTTGTTGGGGTCATCATGCTAGCAATGTAGTAATGAAATTAATGCACAAAGCGCGGTTTCAATCGGTCACTTGTCGCATTAACTTTAATATAGTTAAATTTTGTACCGCATTTACTTACACCATTTTCGCTCTTTTGATGGGGAAGACCAAAGTTCTAGTTTATGAAATATTTAAACAATCCTAGTGCCAACGTGAAATATGAATGGATTTAGTGCGATGAATAACTATTTGGCATGGTGCGGTATAAAATGGGAGAAAATAGCACTGTGGTTGTGATCACCTTTCATGCAACAGTATAAACCATTTATCGCTGTGAACCGTGTGCTTTTATCCATTCGGCAGCAGTTGTCACTCACTCCGTGAATAGATGTTACAGATTATCCTACGCGTTGGGGTGAATTTCTCCTTCCAATGAGTAAATTTGATGGTTCTAAGGATCACCCCCAAGGTAATCGGTTGGATTTTCTTTCCGTGTCATGTTTGCGTCAATTATATTGCTCAGTTTCAAGTTCGTCACACGAAAATTGGGAAAGAATGTGCAAAATGTTTAGGGCGTTGAATGGCATGAGTAACGTGTGTGGGCCTGAAAAGCGTGGCGATAGGCAGTCTTTGTAAAATATCAATTGGGATTTCTTTCAGAATGACAGGAATAGGTCAAATTTGTACGCAATAGAACTTTTCTGCACGTTTCTCTCACGTAAGGTTCAGGAATAACGCCTTATTGAATCGTGCGGCTTGTTATCGGAATCGGAGGTCAAATGCAGTTAGCATAGTAAGTATTTTGATAGAAAAAGGGGTTCATACAAAGCTTTTTCGTTACTAGCCACCGATGCCGAATTCACAAAGATCAAATTTCATACGACGGATAATCAGTGCGCTTAGGTTATCGACTGAAAACGTAGATATTCAAAGGCCTTAAAATACGTAGTCTCACTGACTCCAAACTACAATCGGGATGGGTTTTTGGACCCAAAGTATACATCTTCTATATGGTAGATTGCTGCTAATTTGATTACTGGACAGTGAAGTTCAAATTATTGAAGATCAGTTCGTGCAACCGATTCTTCAAGCTCCGCAGGTGTCAGCTCGCGTGCTGACAAAACGCTCGCGTGCATTTTGCCAAGCTCAGTGTATCATCATTATCTTCATCGTACAGCGAAATACAGTGAAGCGAACTTCACTGAACGCTGCCAAACTCGCAATGCGTACAAGGTTAGTGGCAGAATTATAGGTGGGCAGGGATTGGATCTATTTTGAGGGAGGGAGAAGGTGAGCCACTATGGTCAACACACAGAGTACGCAATCGAACTCTGCATACATACCGTTTCAAGCATTCTCACCTGAGATAAAACGGGAACAAGAACGCCACTGCTATCCGTTCGCTGCCATATCATACAATGTCCCCAACCAACCAGTTGTGAAGTCTTTCGGACCCCAGCTTGGAGGGCTCGAGACACCTACTCGACTTAATGGCTCTGTGCATTTCCTCATGCCCGTCTCCACGTCATCTGTTGACCTCCACGTGGTTTCCTCCAACCCGGATTNGATTAGCTACAGCGAATAAAGCGCGGGGTGGTAGACGACAGTTGGGCATACGCAATAAGTGCCCTAGCCAGCGAAGTGTACTAATTTCAATTCGGTGTGCTAGCAGGTTTATACCTGATAGACCCCCAAACACATGGCGGCTGACCTCCACGTTACTAACCCGTTCGCTCCGTCCAACGTGGGCTACACTGCGTAAACACCGATAATCGAAAACCTCTAACCGACAAATATCTTCTATTCGCAAATTCAAGGTCTTACAACCATACAGCAAGAATGAACGAACGCTAGCACAATATACACGACCTTTCAATTTCAGTGAAACGTCGCGTCTACGCCAAAGGTGTTTCAGTTCTGTGTATGCTGC